CATCCAGGACACTTTTATTTATCTTTGCTACCAAGACTTAGAAGATGTTTGATTTTTGTTCTGGAGCCAGATTTTCTTTCCACCCCCTGTGCCCTATGTCTAGTTCTTATTTTTGCTTAAAGTTTGAGACTTGAGTCATCCCTTAAGAGCTGCCATGGTGACATGGGGTTAGAATAAATCAAGTAGAGAGTCTGAGAAATATAAAGGATCTTTGCCTTTTAGAGGTTAAAATGCCCAACTCTTGTTCCTGGTCGACTGTTAAGATTCAGGGACACGTTTGTGTTTTCTTGGTCTTATGATTCAGGGACTAGAATGGAAGGAATGGACATCAGCTCCTGCAGACAGTACTGATAAGTGTGGTTGGTCCTCCACTGTTTGATCTGAGGAGCTTGTGAAAACCTTCCTGTCCCAGGATACATCCCTCATCCATTTGCCATGTGTCTGTAATGCCCATTAGTTTACTTTTTAGCTTTAAACATTCAAAGCTCAACTAAAATTTAAAAATTTCTCTAGGAGGGACAAGGTTAGTGTGGCAGGACAAATTATTTAAATTAGCTATGACTTATGAGAATAGGGCATTTAAACTAGGGGATGGAAAAAAAGATCTGGAACTAGGATTATACTGTTGCCTGTTTATAAACCTTCAATGCGTCCCAACTGACAAATGACATTTATAGACTGTATACTGTATGCCAGGCATTGTTCTCATTTAATCCTCAGGCCAACCCTGTGAGATAATTACAGTTACTGTCCCTATTTTGCAGATTAGGAAACTGAGGCACAGAGAAGTTAAGTAATTTGTCTGAGTTTCCTTATGGAGGAGACAATGTGTATTCACCACCATTCAGTCCCCCGGTATATCTTATGCTGCCAGAACAGTTCCTTTGCCCATAGTAGGCGCCTAGTAACCCAGGTAACTTTTGAATTGAATCAGTACATGGGCTAGCATGAACTAGTTAGTATAGCAGTAACATAATTTAAGGAAACATGGAAAAAGAAGTAGAGACACTTCTAAAAGTTTTACCTCACAGCACCTGCTCTATTAAGTTGGTGGGAAATGTGAATAATTGGTTATTTTTAATTACTTAGTGTCATTCTTAAAATGGTGTCATTGCTCTGAAATTGGTAACTGACAGTGTTCAAGTTTTCCTTATTAGAGCAAAAGCATTTCTCAGAAGTTTCATTATAAAAATATGAAACTTTGTTTAGTGATATAATTGAACAAATTGAGGGCTAACTTAATTGACCTGGCAGTGTTGAAGAATGTTTACATTTAGGTTCGGTTACGCTTCCGAAAACATCTGTTGTACACTTAGTAAGTGAATTATTTCTTTCATCTTCACTGAATTCCATCTTCTATTTTACCCTCTATTCATCTAAGTGAAGAATTCAGATTAAGGAATATCTTCACGTAGAAAGTCGATTGGGAAAATCCTCTATTTCTGAAACAAATAGTACATTGTCCCAACAGGTTTTTTTTTTCTTCTTACAAATGGTCTCCTAACTACATTTGTGTTCTTTAGCACTGACAGTATAGTGTAACCAGAAATCAGCCCTAGGTGACTTTGGGCAAAGGACTTGGTGAGGAAGAAAATAAAAACTGATGGTGAAGGCAGGTTCGACCACCCGCTTTACCATGGATAATTGAGATATAGCTGATTATTCTGGTCAGGTCAGTATGAAGCTGAAAATTCAGATTGTGGATTTTTTCAAATCATAAGCATAGGAATAAAAATGCTATATATTTGTATCTAAGTTCAACAAAGATTAACTTTCCAAGCCAGTCACTATTTGGGGGAAGAGAATGCTGTCACCTTCGTGAAGTTGTGAATTATAAAAGACATTTCTGTGGGATTACTGAATGTCCCTTGGGGGTTGTTTCATTTATAACATTGCCTCAGGCCTTCTGCTGCATCCTGTTGGAATGACCTCCTTTTCAACCCTGTGCTGGCAGCTGTGATGTGGCTCTTTCCCTGGGATCCTTCAGGCTTGTCACATGACAGACATGAACTGTGACCCCTTTGTTCCTTACCCAGATGGTTCGTTCTCCATAATTTTTTTCTATTTAACAATTTTGCCTTATCTTCTTTCCTCTTTTCCCTCTTCATTTCCCTTTGTATTTCCTACCTACACAAGACTTTTTTGGTAGCAGTTTAATTTTTTTTATTGAAGTAGGACATCAATGCAGAAAAGTACCCAAATCATGAGTAAGCTCACTGAATTTTCACAGCAGAGCACACCTATGCAGACAGTACTTAGGTCGAGAAAGAGAACATCGCCAGAATCCCAGAAAACCTCTACTATCCCCTTCTGGTTACCACTCTTCTCCCTTAAGGGGAATCATTATCCTGACTTCTATAGCTTTGCCTGTTTTAAACGTTATAGAAATGGAATCAAACCATATGTATTCCTTTGCATCTGGATCCTTTCATTTAATATTTTGTGACATTTGTCCATGTTACTCAGTTTGTTACTGCTGTGTAGTATTCCATTTGTATGAATAGTCCACAGTTTATTCTGCTCTTAATGGGCGTTTGGATCGTTTCTAGCTTAGGGCCATTATGAATAGTAGTGCTAAACATTCTCATACATGTCTTTTTATCAAAAGACATGACATATTTCTGGATATTTACGTAGAAATTAAATTGCCAAGATATAGTATGTCCAACTAGCCATTTAATTTAAATATTCATGTAAAACACTAAACGAGTGATTTTTGGCAAACTTGGTAGGAAAGATCTATAAACATATATAGATTCAGCTTTAGCATAATATATCTAATTTTTGGCTAAGAAAAATGCCTCTAGTTAAATATACTGTAGTTTTAAATAGATAACTCCTGTATACAGCAAAATTGCTGCTCAGTGCCTGGGACATTAACCTTCTTCCTAATTTGTCCTTTTATCCAGTGTTCCAAAGCTGAGTTGGTGGGCCCATTCTGTAAAAATCTTATGAGAATATTTTGATGGTGATAATTTACAAGAGTTAAGATTATATCTGTGTTACACCACCTCTAAGTTAGTCTTTTTGTCCTTTTTTTTTAAACATGGACTTTCCAAAATTTGCTTCATGGATGCTTTTGAATGAGTCTGACCTAATGAGTATAGAAGTGGGATTGTGATATCATATCCCTTCAAAAGTGAGTAGTATCTTTGAAGGACATTTTATTCGATTGTGAGGTAAAGTCGAATGTAAGAACTCCCAGTCATTCTGTGTACATGTATGGAATTAAGTTCACTTGTTTTGACCATAGGGTTTTGGAGACCTTAAAGGGGATTTCCTTACCCTCCATCAAACTAAAACAAAGCAAGAAAAAAAAAAAGAGAAAACCAGAAATGTAGAGGGAGTAATTAAAATTTGAAGGTTATAAAAAGATAGTAATGGAACCAGAAGATTCGCTTCCTGTGTTAGAGGAAGTCTTTTGGGTAGGGAAAGGAGGGTTGCCAACTCAATTGAGATGTTTTTGAAACAAAGTATAGTTAAAAAAAAAAAAAAGAAAAGAATAAAGGATTCATTTTTGCCAAATTATTCTATATCTGAATTTTCTGTATTTTTATTTCTTCTTCCAAATCTTTTTTTTAAATAGTGGTGTATAGACATATTGATACTTAGGAAACTTAATATCTTAATACAGAAGTATTGGGTTTCATTCAGTTTTGAAAGACATTTAGAACTCGTGTTAGTTGTTATGTTTTAAACTGGTGTATTGAATTGAGAAAATATTGCTGATAATCCGTGTTGTTCTGTATACTTTGCTAAGCCATAGAAGGTATAGAAATGATAGTCCCTGTCCTCAGAAAGCTTACAATCTAGTGGGTATGTGCTGGTGGTGGTAGCGTATACAAATTACTATAATACGATGTAAGATAATTACCACAGTAAGAATTCTTACGGGGAAGGGGAAGGTAAGTAGACCCATTTGAAATGGGTCTTAAAGGATGAGTAGGTTAGCCTGGAATGGCCTTTCGCTGATCTCTGCAATGGGAAGTAAGGCTGAAGAGAAGCCAGGTAATGAGTTTGTACCTGATATGATGTATAATATAGAACAGGCTAAGAGCATTCACTTTATTATTTTTTTAACATCTTTATTGGAGTATAATTGCTTTACAATGGTGTGTTAGTTTCTGCTGGATAACAGAGTGAATCAGCTATACATATACATACATCCCCATATCTCCTCCCTCTTGTGTCTCCCTCCCACCCTCCCTATCCCACCCCTCTATGTGGACACAAAGCACCGAGCTGATCTCCCTGTGCTACGCGGCGAGCATTCTCTTTAGATCAAATTAAAAGTTGAGTCCCAGCTCAGTGTTGCTGTGTGACCTTAAACAGATTGCTTTAACCTGTCTAAGCTCAGTTTCCTCACTTGATAAATGAGGACAGCACCCATGTAACGTGCTGCAGTGTTGTATGAAAGAAAGATCATGTGTGGAAGGTGCTTAACGTAGCTCTCAAAGTATAATAAGTGCTCAAGTAGCTACTCTGGACAGAGGGGAACCATTGAAGGTTTTTGAACCATGGAGTGGTGGGATCTGAACCATGTGAGGCTTTCACTTTTACTTTTATAATTGACAAACAAAAGACCGCACACATTTAAAGTGTGTAATCTGCCAGGTTCTTACATATATACACACCTGTGAAATCATCGCCACAATCAGAATTATGACCACAGTCATCACTCCCGAAACTTTTGTCTAAGACCTTTAAAGAGGACAGTCTGCCCTGTGATGTGCAGCAAAGAACGGATTGAAGTGGAGAAGTCAGTTAAAAGGCTGTGGCCATGGTCCAGGTGAGAGAGAGTGACTGAGGCCATGAACTAGGTGTGCTGGCCATGGGCCTCCCCCAAGAGCCTGGGCTGCTGGAGGACAAGCTGCATCATGCTATTACCTCCAGCACCTACCTCAGGGGCCAGAGGCTAGCAGGCTCTTGCTGAATTGACAGGTTCTCTCTTTATGAAAGATTGCTTATTTTAAACTTGCTTCTCCCTTTACTTTGTATAGGGTTTAAAAGACAACCTTTTTGCTTCTGGGACATCCAGCCTGACAGCCACCAAACAGTTGCTTCGTCCAAGAATCACAAGAATCTGCCTCAGGGACCTGATCTTCTGTATGGAGCAGGAGAGGGAGATGAAGTATTCCCGAGCTCTGTACCTGGCCCTTCTGAAGTGACCATGGCCCTCTCCATCCAGATCCTTGCTACTTACTGCCAAAGAAGACATAAAGAGCGGTGTCACATGGTCCTGAGCTTTCGGTTTCTGGAAAATAATCACCGATAGGGAAGACCATTGTTTACAGTTATATACTTTTATTAACTCTTATGTATTCCATTAGGTTCTTAATGACTAGGAATCAGCTTCTAAAAATAGGTTGTGAAGTACGGTTTATTTACACAGAAGTAGGCATATGCCTACCTACGTGTTTAATTACAGCAAGGCTCTGTTTGTTACTCCCTCCTTCATTTGCCAAACTATTAATAGGTAAGGCGTCTTTCCCTAGTACAGCCTGCACTGAGATGCAGGGGGAAGAAAAGAAGGGTCACCGCTTACCAGGAAACTATGTATTTCATCCTACATGGAACCTGACTCAAAGCATTAGGTTTTCTGGGCTGGAATCAGAAGTTGCTTAGCAAGTGATGACAGTTGCCTTCTGTGGTTGAAGGTGACAAGCCACAGGGTAAGGCCAGTGGTGGCTTTTGTCGGCTGAGTCCCATTGTTGTTAAAACATTGACAAATGGGGATAGTTTGTGCCTGAAGTTGCTGTTCCCTGGTTCACCTCACCACCAGCGATGGAGGGAAATGAAAACGGAATCATAAAACAGGAAATATGCTGTATACACCTAAGAGGGGTCAGTGGTCGAATTGGAACTCCGAACCAACCAGTACATGTTTTGTTGACAGGATAAAAATCACAGCCCAACCAAAAAGGAAAATGTATCAAACATTTTCAAATTACAGTATTTCAAAAGGAAGAAGTTATTCTTTGTTTTGTGTACTGCTTTAAATCTCAAGAAGGATAGTTTTATAAACTCTTTTAGTTACCCTAAGTTTTAAGCATCTTGTTGCATTAAAAAAAATCGTGATTGATGATTAGAAATTTTTAACAATGGGATTCCATTTTGGACTCTGTACTCAAAAGGTAAGGTCAGCATCTTACTCTTTGAGATCTTGGCTCTACATATATTATGAGAAGCATGTTATATATACTCGTCCGAGGAGGAAGCTGACATTTTGCAACGCAAACCCTCTTTTTTTTTTTTTTTAATTCCACTTTTGTGGTATGTAGCTGGTGAAAAATAATAGCTGTAGTTAGAATCACATACAGAAAGAATGCGTAAATCCTCCAAAGAAGGCTAAAGAAAAGAAAAAAAGGGAAAGCTGTGCTTCTTAGAAAAAGAATTCAGGGGAATAAAACCTCAAGTATGTTATTCTTCATCCTGTTCTTCCCATCGGGACTGTTATGGCCATATTCTATACTGTAGTAAGTTTCAAATTGGCCACATTTTCTGTTTCAGCGAGTTATTATGTAAAAATGCTATAAATTATGTGTATGTTAAAAGAGTCCTTTAAGAAGAGATCTATACCTAAAGTTGTTTTTGTATATTTAAATGCTTAGCTTTATTTTTTGGTAAAGTGCAGCACACTCCCATATTTGTGTGTAATCTTATTGATCAGATGTTTAAAATTATTTCAAATACTTCATTAAAATAATTATTTTATTATAAGAATAACTTTGCTCAGTCACTGACTTTGGAAATATCTCTGGAAGTTGGCCCCTGAAGCTGGGGGCAGGGCAGTAGATCCTTCTTGGCTGGGTTTGTTACTTTGGAGTGTGAGCATTTGGGTTCCAGAAGCTCACTTCAGATCCAAGTTCCTGTATCACTTTCTTTGACATAGTTGTAAACTTACATGGTATTTGACTCACAATGAAAGCTACACATATTCATTACAAAAGCTTCTCTTGCCCATCAAGGTTTTCTTACAAAGGTATTCTTTTTCAAAATTTATCCTTAATATACATTTTTAAACTTTGTGTCCTAAAGTATATCTTACACACAAAAGAACAAACACAGTGGACCCAAGGTATTCTTCCACTCAGTTTGCAAAATGATGGCCTTGGGGCCGATTTGATCTCTAAATGTGTTCTCTGTAACTCACATGGTGCTGCCAATATTTTAATTCACAAAAATCTATATTTCCACTTCTTTTGAAAAATTAGAAGATCTGGAGTCACTAGGTGTACCGTTTGTGTGACAGTCTGCTGGAGCCGACCAGTGGCTGTCCACTTCAGATGTGGGAGCGTAAGTTCACCTTCCCTTGCCTGATCCCTTTAAGCACTGAAGTGTGAGACTCTGCCTTCAATGTTGATCTTAAGTGATGAACACTAAAAGGGGAAAGTGCCAGAAATTCTCCATCTATTTACTGTTTTTTAAGCAATTTTATTGAGGCATGTTTTACATATAAAATTCACAATTTTATCCATTTAATTTTAATATGACCGATGGAACTTTTAAATTGTTTCCTCCTGAATATCTGTAAGATTCTTCTCCTCTTAAAAGAAGCAAAGTTTAACATTCTTGTAAAGCCTATATTTCTTTTTCTTTTTCTTTTTTTTTTAATTGAATGAAAGATTCTTTAAATTCTCTAGCGCTTTAGTGCTTTACAATTTTCAAAAGTTTCACACACATGATTTCATATAATCCCATACTAACCCTTTTTTCCCTACTCCTGTAATGCCCCTCCCTCCTTCCCTCTCCCCACTGGTAACCACTAGTTTGTTCTCTATATCTGTGAGTCTGCTTCTTTTTTGTTTTATTCACTAGTTTGTTGTATTTTTTAGATTCCACATATAAGTAATATAATACAAGTATTTGTCTGACTTATTTCACTTAGCGCAATGCCCTCCAAGTCCATCCATGTTACTGCAAATGGCAAAATTTCATTCTTTTTTATGGCTGAGTGGTATTCCGTTGTGTGTGTGTGTGTGTGTGTGTGTGTGTGTGTACCACATCTTCTTTATCCATTCATTTGTTGATGGAAATTTAGGTTGTTTCCATACTTGACAATTGTAAATAATGCTGCTATGAACGTTGGGGTGCATGTATCTTTTAAAATTTGTGTTTTTGGTTTTTTTGGATATATACCCAGGAGTGGAATTGCTGGGTCATATGGTAGTTCTAGTTATAGTGTTTGGAGAAGCCTCTATACTTTTTTCCACAGTGGCTGCACCAATTTATTGGGTTGGCCAAAGAGTACTTTCGGTTTCTAAGTAAAAATAAAAGACACATTTTTCATTTTCACCAAGAACTTTATTGAACAACATATTCACCCTTTTGTTCCACTACCTTCTGCCATTTTTCAGGCAAGTTCAAAATTCCATCTTCCCCAAACCTTTTATCTTTTTGAGCAAAGAACTGTTCCAGGTGCTTTTTACAGTCTTCCAGGGAATTAAAATTTTTTCCATTAAGAGAATTCTGTAACGACCTAAATAAATGGAAATCCGAAGGTGCAACGTCTGGTGAATACGGCGACTGAATCAGAACTTCCCAGATAAGCTGTAACACTTCTTGCCTGGTCATCAAAGAAACGCGGTCTTGCGTTATCCTGATGGAAGATTATGCATTTTCTTTTGACTAATTCTGGATGCTTTTCATCAAATGCTGCTTTCAGTTGGTCTAATTGGGAGCAGTACTTGTCGGAATTAATCGTTTGGTTTTCCGGAAGGAGCTCATAATAGAGGACTCCCTTCCAATTCCACCATATTCACGACATCACCTTCTTTGGATGAAGACCGGCCTTTGGTGTGTTTGGTGGTTCATTTCGCTTGCCCCTCGATCTCTTCCATTCCACGTTATTGTACAGTATCCACTTTTCATCACCTGTCGCAATTTGTTTTAAAAACGGAACGTCTTCATTACGTTTAAGTAGAGAATTGCATGCAGAAATACGGTTGAGGTTTTTTTCGCTTAACTTACATAGAACCCAAACATCAAAGCGATTAACATAACCAAGCTGGTGCAAATGATTTTCAATGCTTGATTTGGATATTTTGAGTCTGTCGACTATCTCCCGCGTGGTGTAATGTTGATTGTTCTCAGTTAATGTCTCGATTTGATCGCTGTCAACTGGTCTGCCCAACCGTGGAGCATCATCCAGCGAGAAATCTCCAGCACAAAACTTCGCAAACCACTTTTGACATGTTTGATCAGTCACAGCACCTTCTCCATATACTGCACAAATCATTTTTTTGCATTTCGGTTGCATTTTTACCTTTCTTGAAATAATAAAGCATAATATGCCGAAAATGTTGCTTTTTTTCTTCCATCTTCAATATTAAAATGCCTACACAAAAATTCGCTAATTTTGATGTCATTTTTTAAATGCATGCTGATATGACAGCTGTCACATACAGTCTAACAAAATTGTTTTGAATGAAGTTAAAGACAACTAAGTGCTACTAGAGCCATCTTATGAAAAACCAAATGAACCTTTTGGCCAACCCAATACATTCCCACCAACAGTGTACGAGGGGTCCCTTTTCTCCACATCCTCGCCAACATTTGTTACTTGTGGGTTTTTTGTTTCTTTGTTTTGTGTTTTGGATGATGGCCATTCTGACAGGTGTAAAGAGATATCTCATTGTGGTTTTGATTTGCATTTCCGTGATAACTAGTGATGTTGAGCATCTTTTCATATGCCTGTTGGCCATCTGCATTTCCTCTTTAGAAAAATGTCTGTTCAGTTCTTCTGCCCATTTTTTTTAATCAGTTTTTTTTTTTTTTTGATGTTGAGTTGTATGAGTTGTTTATATATGTTGGGTATTAACCCCTTACTGGCCATATCATTTGCAAGTATCTTCTCCCATTCAATAGCTTGTCTTTTCATTTTGTCAGTGGTTTCCTTTGCTGTGTAAAAGGTTTTAAGTTTAATTAGGTCCTATTTGTTTATTTTTACTTTTGTTTCCTTTGCTTTAGGAAACAGATCCAAAAAATATTGCTGCGATTTATGTCAAAGGGTGTTCTGCCTCTGTTTTCATCTAGGAGTTTCCTCTATGTATTCAGCCTTACATTTAGGTCTTTAATCCATTTTGAATTTATTTTTGTATATGGTGCTAGAGAATTTCTAATTTCATTCTTTTACAAGTAACTCTCCAGTTTTCCCAGCACCATTTATTGAAGAGACTACCTTTTCTCCATTGTATATTCTTGCTTCCTTTTTCGTGAATTAATTAACCATAGCATTGGGTTTATTTCTGGGATTTCTATCCTGTTCCATTGATCTAAGTGTCCGTTTTTGTGCCAGTACCATACTGTTTTAATTACTGCAAGTTTGTAGTATTGTCTGAAGTCAGGGAGCATGATTCCTCCAGCTCTGTTATTCTTTCTCAAGATTGTTTTGGCTACTTGGGGTTTTTTGTGTTTCCGTACAAATTTTAAAATTACCTGCTCTAGTTCTGTGAAAAATGCCATTGGTATTTTGATAGGGATTGCATTGAATCTGCAAATTCAATGCCTTGGGTAGTATGGTCATTTTAACAATATTAATTCTTCCAATCCAAGAACATGGTATATCTTTCCATCTGTTGGTGTTGTCTTCAGTTTCTTTCATCAGTGTCTTAAAGATTTCTGAGTACAGGTCTTTTACCTCCTCAGATAGGTTTATTCCTAGGTATTTTATTCTTTTTGATGCAGTGGTAAATGGAATTGTTTCCTTAATTTCTGTTTCTGATAGTTCATTGTTAGTGTATAGAAATGCAACAGATTTCTGTATATTAATTGTGTATCCTGCAACTTTATTGAATTCATTGATGAGCTCTAATTTTCTGGTAGCATATTTAGGATTTTCATGTCATCTGAGAAAAGTGATACTTTTACTTCTTCCTTTCCAGTTCGGATTCCTTTTATTTCTTTTTCTATTCTGATTCTGTGGCTAGGACTTCCAAAATTTTGTTGAATAAGAGTTAAAGCCTATATTTCTTGAAATCTGATTTGAGGTAAATTTTGTCTCATTAAAATTTTGGCAAAAGTTTATTTAGAATTAAAACCATTTATATTAGTTATGTCATAGTTGCAGCAAAAAAAAACACAAGCAATATTAGGACATATTCTTCAGAAAAATAAGAAACCAAGATCTCAGGGGGATTAAGTTGGACTTTATACCTAGTTGTACGATGAACCAACTAAATGTTTATGACACTTTAACCTCAGCAAGACTCAGTGATTCTACAGGAAATAAAAGTATAATATATCCTATGTTTATATATGACCTAGTAGCAGTTTTTACCTTGTTGTTTTTAGTGTTACTATCTTTTCAGATACTTTCATATGCCTTGCTGCCCTGAAACAATTTTTTTTTTTAACATTTAGGCACAGTTTGCCTCTGATATCAACTTCTTTTTCTCTGACTTTTTAACAACCTCTTGGTATTTTCACATGCATTTTAGCTGTATGGCATTGGTGCAATTACGTTTTCACCGAAGTTATTCCATCAGTTAGAAATTGTTCCAAGTAGAATATATTTGCCATAATTTTCTTTGGGAAACTTTGAGAGACTGCTGTGCATGCAAGAAACCTGAAGTGTTGGGCACTGTGTACTTGGACACTGACTGGTTGGGTGAGAGGAACAGATAATGTTAACAGTTACATGTTTAGAATTTGTGTAGACTTTGCACATTGAATATTTGTGGGAAGAAAATACTTCCAAGGAACCCACTTGAAGACTTTTGACT